AATCAAGATTCTGAGAGAGAGAGAGAGAGAGAGAGAGAGAGATCTGCATGCGAGATATTAGTTTATTATAGATAATATTTTATTTGTTCGATTTTTTATTTTATGTTTTTAATCAAAACAAAAATATTGTTTAATTAAAAGTATTGTAAAAGTAAATTTTATTTACATACTTTAAAATTAAAATTTAATTTTATTCTTCAAATAAAATAATTGGATTTAATGTATGCAATAATAATTCACTTATTGAAATTAACTTGATATACAAGGAATAATATATTCGACATACATTTATTTTATACTACACATTTAAATATTCTATAATCATGAAATGTGATTTGCGGTAGGAATCGAATATAATAAAAATCATTTTGATATTTAAGAAAATAATTAATTTTTCAAAATTAAATTCGAATGTATTGCATCGATTTTTTTTATTTTTATATTTTTATTTTTTATTTAATAAAATTTATTTAATAATCAATTGAAATTTGGAATCAAGAAATATTTGGTATAAGTTTTTTTTACTCTACTGCATTAATTTAAACTTCATGTTTTGTATATATGATGTTTTGTATATATAGCGTACTAATATTTACATTCGGTTTTTTGTTATCATATAGCGCGCTACTCGGTCATTGATCGTTGTCAATGGCACAGCGAGACTCGAACGAAAAGGTAATAGAATCATAATGCTCTATCTTTTGACAAACGCGATAAATTTACAATTACTGATTATTATATACAATTACTGATATTACTAATAACATGTCGATAGATATCCTAAGCATGTCGAAGTGTCGATTATTTATTGAGGTTATTTATTTTGTGCGATTTATTCATTGAATAATAGTTACATAATAGTTAGAAACAATAGAAATAATAATAATAGTTAGAAACAATAGAAAATACCAATCATAAATGATTACGATATTTAAAATAGCAATTTTTTAAATAAGTGGATTTTAATATATCTTGCATTTTTCGATAATTTTGCCGTCATTTTCTTAAATCAAAGCACAGATTAATATATAAATCATTGGATCAAAGCATTAATAGATAATAGATAGCTGTGACACGTGTATTAATGTTACAATTATTTCTTGAATTTTTTACATTTAAAACGTATTAAGCATACAATATTAAATTTCAATTATACATGTATGCATTCGAACGATCCATCGCATCTTAATTAGTTATCAACTTGATATTATATAATGTTATTAATTTATTTTTATTATTTATTTTTTAATTTTTCAATTTCTCAATTTCTCAATTTAACAAAGTTAATCATATGTTTCGCGAATACGGAATGGATTGATTATAATTGAAAAACGTCGTGAGGCATTTAATCAACAAACACAGTTATTATATGTGGTACATATTTTAATATTTATCAATATCATGTGTACTATATGCAATATAAATATATACAATTATATATCGTTGTAATTTATCAAAATACGATTCATGTGAATATCAAATAATCGTGAATAATCAAATTTAAACATATTGTCAAATATTTTGTAGTTCGCGAATTATCTTCAATAATTTTACTTGTATATCTATTTACTTACATTTAATACAAAATAATGAAATGATAAACAATAATAATAAAGATATCATACATTAGTAATGGAGGCAATAATGTTATGAGAAATGTTTGAATTTAATCTTATAATTTGCTAGTGTCAAGTAGTTATTTTGTCCTGATAATATAATAAAATGTATGTCATATATTAATGTTCGGATGTGTGAAATATCGCGTGATCCTATTTTTTCGATTAGTATGTGATCGTAATTAATTGTATTTTCGCGAGAGAGAAAGCAAAGTGTGAACAAAAAGAGAAGATGAAGCCTAGGGAGGGATCAGGCGATGGGAACCATGGATAACCACAATTTATAATTTACTTTATTTATTATTTGTGACATTAATTGCTAGTTTATTTTCGCGGCCGATATTTATTACATATTAATGTGTAATATATATGTAAAATAATTTAAATTTTATATTAAAATATTATATTTAAAACATTTAGTAAGGTATTTTCAATAACGAATATGAATAATATTTGTGCATAGATAAAAAGATATAAGAAATATTTTTTTAAATTTATAACTATTTAGAATAATTAAATTAGAAATAAATTTTTATTTACAACGTATTTTACAAAAGGAAATTTTGCTTTTTGAATTTTATATCTATTTAAAAAGAATATATAAATAAAAAAATTTAATTGTACGCAATAATTATTTCTTAAAATATTAATTATTTTGGACAACACTTTATAATTTAAATTTATTATTTGCATGTTGCAGATCAACGTTGTGTACGACTCCGCTGTTGCACATTGTATTGGTGAGTCCTGAATTATTTTTTATTTTATATGTCAAATTTTTTCTCGCAGCTTTTTATAGTTTTACATGTATATGTTACTTCTGCAGTTCTACTTAATATATTAACAAATTTTTAATTTGTAACGAACACTCCAAATTTCAAAGAGATTTGCTTAGTCACATTTGTATATGCGTGTGTTGATTTAAAAAAATTATTTATGTCAATGTGAAAAATTCATGATTCGCAACTACTTAAATATTTTACGAGGTTTTACTGCCACGCTTTCGTGTTTCATCAAAAGTGGAAACAAATGAAAAAAAACTCTTCTTTCTGACGAATGTGCAAAACTTTAGGCATTTGATTAAAAATAATCTCGAATAGTAAATCGAATAAAAATCGAATAAAAAGAAAAAAATTTTATCAAAGTGGTCTACGTCCAAAGCAAATACGCAGATAAAGGATGAAACTGGACGGCATTTTTAGGCTCATAGTCGGAGAAAATGGGATGACGAAACAATCGTTGTTTGAGAGGTCCAATTTGCGTTTAATAATTGCATTTGATTAATATTCATTGGAATGCAAAGCGGTGAGTCCAGCTACCGGATCCGCTCGCACACTCGCGCGAAAGAAAATGGGAAGCGGCGAGCTGACATTTTCACGAACTTTCGGCATTGTCCTGTCGTTACCACGACTCGCCACGGACGGGGATAATAAATCGAAGGCAATAGCATCGAGTTCTCCCTGCGCGCTCTATACGCACAGATGATAATGGCTTCAGATTCGCCCACACGAGATGCGACTTATTTATGCGAGAGGCTTCGAGTACACGTCGATCCACGTTATTCCGCACTTCTTCTCCGGCTTCTCTAAAGCTCTTGTCGTCACTCCCTCCGAGCGAAGAAAAAAATATAGGACGATACAAGAGAGAGAGCGCGTTTCATCCTATGTAATACCACAGAGCGCGTTTCATGAGATTTGCATCAAATTCCGAAAGAAGTATATCCTACGATGAATTCAGCCACGATTTTTCCTCGACGAAAAATTACCTCGATGCGCTATCTTGCTTCGCAACTTTTGAATTTTCAACATTACGTATTCCGGCAACTAAGCCTCAGATTAAGACTCTGTTAAAGTAAACTTTGATAGAAGTTTATCGAGGAGCAAGGTTTTGTTATCTTGTTTATACCCCTGAGGCTTATTTCGCTCCAAGTTTTTAAAATTTACCGTTAATAGCTTGATAATCACGTTCCAAACACAAAGCACGTTTATTAACAAACAGTTTATGGGAAAGCTTTTTAAAGATTTGATAGGGGTTGTTTGAGAGGAAACATTCAAACATAAATGATTGCGTAATAATGTGCTTAATTTTAAGAAACTGTAATAACAAAGATTTAAAAGAGTAAAAAAGGGAAAAGATACTTGAAAGATATTTGAATAAAGTTCGAGCTTTTAGAAAATATCCCCTGAAGCAGAATCTCATTTTTGAGAGTACGTGTGGCGTCAACATATAAGGGGGAATTCCAAATATGCCTCTGGAAAGCGAAGGTTATTTTCGGGATTGCAATTCTACGAAACAAAAGGAATTTACAATGAGCAAGATCCGTCCGGCGCCAAAGCTTGAATTGTGAATCGAAAACTTTCATCCCTCCTACGCCTCTAACATCTCACTCGCTTCTAAGACTAACTTTATTCGCGCATTCTTCTTGTCGATTCCCCTAGTTAATAGAAACACTGCGAAGTAATCAGACTCGACAGAAGATATAAATATAAAGATTGTATCGTAATTTTAAGGAATAAAAATTGATTACTTCTATCTTTCTTAGCCAGTAAAAAAATGATACAGAAAATTTCGCAAACGTGATGGAATATTGTACAAACGAAGTCAATCTAGCACTTTTTTAAAACGAGCATTTTATATAATTTTATATTTTATACTTTATGAGTCAATTGACTTGAAAATTAATAATACATAACAGATCTCATATGTCACATTTCCAAGTAAATAAAAAAGTTGCAGAAATATAAAAAGATTCTGATGTTTAAAATTAAAATGTATATTCTCAGCCTGAAGCTTCAGCGTCGAACGAATATTATTTATTGTAAATATATAATAAAATATATCAGACATAATGATTTTTATAGTATATGAATTAGAAAAGAATTTTTAGCTTTTAAAACTTTGCTGTATTAATTGCCATCTTCAGAAAATGAATACATATTGTAGTTTTTATTTGATTTAAAAGTCAGTAGAAAGACCACATAATAAGTCAGGCACAATGCACGCGCCTAAATACAAATAGATAAATGAGCGAAAGCTGGAGGTGTTGCCAGATTTTTAAAAAAATATTACGTATATTTTTTCTTTCTAACAATATTACATATATATTTGTTCTTTCTAAGAAGAAAGAATTCTGCTAAATAATGAAGAAAACAAGCTAGAAATGAAACTTCTCGGATGTGATAGAATAGAATATCGCGCTGTAATTTAACAAGGAGAACAAGCACCATCACACTTTCGTTGAAAAAACTCAAATTTCCCGTGCTCTTCTGTTTTCTAATCAGTAAAAACATCATTGTAATTCACCGCAATTCCCTAAAACGCAAATAGAACATCCCGCGAACATGAACAAACACACTCACACTTTTCAACAATAAGTCGCTCTACCTTTTTCGCCGATCTCGATCCACGATCCGGAGACTGTCACTACTCCTTTTCCCTCTCCCCTTCTCTTCTTCCTCCCTTTCCAAAAAGAAGAAACTTCAAAGAAATCGTTCTTCACCTTTCCCTTCAATGTCGTTCCCAAAACTCAACTGTCCGACATGAAAACGTCTCGTTATCCTTCCACTGACGAATTCCGAGGGGGCGGAATGTCACGGCTCGGGTATCCGGGAGTTAAAGACGCGCGAAAGAGCAGCCGCGTGGCCCCCGGTCCGCGGGGGCGGGTGCAACTCGACGTCGTCGGGTAAACGAGTGACACGAAACGACGTGCGTCGCGACGCCACCGGCACTGGCGGTTGCGTACGTACTTGGCCGTGCGACGGCGGAGGGCGAACTGGACCGAGCGCCGGAGACTGCCTTTGGCCGCTGCGCTGCGTGTTCGGTCTGGTGGCGGCCGCTTTCGCCGGCGACGAGGACGGCCACCGCGACGACGACGACGCCGACGCCGACGCCGCTCGCAGCAACCATGGCGCGACGCCGAAGCCGCCGGAGCGCCCTCATCTCTCCCGCACCCCTTGCGACCTCGGCTCCTGCCGAGTCGTTTCATCTCGCTTCAATCCCCTTCCTCGCCCCCCGCCCCCCCCCGTCCCCTCGTCCTTCCCGACCACCCTGCAGAGCTACCCCCCACTATTCTATCGATCCTACGGGAGAGGCCCTCTGGTGCGTTCCATTTGCCTGGTTCGAGCGGAGACTGCAAATCGCGCTCGCGTAGATCGCCTGGACTGTCCGGATAGCTGAGAAGGGTCGCTAGGGGAAGAGAGAAGACAGTCGTCGGCGGGTTTAACTCCTTTACCGAGCTTCGTTCTTCGAGGCGCGAGGAACTGGACTGTTAATGGATCGGCGTCTCTCGTGTTTATCGGCGAGAATCAACTTGCAAGGGGCTTATGTGGCGAGCAAATACGTTGGAAGTGAATTAAGCATCGATATTGCGAACGTTATCCTTGATAACCTAATGGAATATACAGGAGATACAGCAAATTTCAGTCGAAATTACAATCCTGATTAATAGGATGAAATGTAACGTCTGATGCAACATGGTGGTTTAAAGTCCTGCAACGCAAAAACATTCCGGTCGCCTCGAATGTATGTCACGAGATTTTGAAAGGAGCAATTCGAAGGAAATAAAGGCTTTTCTTCTATTGGCGAAAAATTGTTTCAAAATTATATTTATAAAGATATAACAAAGTTTGCCAAGTTTGAATTGAAACACATGTGACGCATCGTAAAGATCACGGGGAACACAGCTGTCTGATTTAAAATTTCTATCGAAATGTCCGGTTCTCTTGCTATACGGAACTATTGGACCAACTAGAACGGATACATCTCGGGCGCACCCACATGTGCGAAGGAAAGCGAAAGTAGCTCTTAGAATTCACTTCCATTGTGTCCCATAACGGATTTTCCGATTATATGTTTATAGGAAAATTACAGAATCTGAGCAATTCACTCTCGTATAATATAGAATATACAGAGTGTCCCAAAACTCATAATCAATCTTTCAAAGACAGATTCCTGGGATCATCTGAAGACGATTTTTCCTCAACGAAAATGTCGAGACACTAATAATTTTCGAATTATATAAGTGATTGGAAATAAGAGGTTTTTCGTAAATTAAACTTTGCAGAAATAAAATATTAACAAAACCACATTCTTCGATTAATTTTAAATAGAGTTTACTTTAGTTGAGTTTTAATTTAAGGCTTAATTGCAAAGATATGATGACGAAAATCGGGAACATGCAAAAAATGATGGCCTTCATCGACATTTTCGCTGAAGAAAAATCGTCTCCAAATAATCTCAGGAACCTGTCTTTGAAAGATTGATTATGAGTTTTGGGACACCCCGTATATATATAGGGTGTCCCAAAAATCCCGGAATGGTCGAATATTTTATAAACTATGCACCTTAGAAAAAAATGTTTCAGACAAAAGTTGTATGGCTTGAAGAGGGCCATAAGATGGTGTCATTAGTTTGATTTTAAAAAGTCGTTTGAAGATCACGTGAAGGTCATCTTCAATTTTTTAAATGGAACTACCTATTTTTTTTATATTCTGGTAGCTCACGTCGAGAGCTTTTCAAAACACTACAATTAAAAGTTAGTTTTCATTAAGTACTTTCCGAGTTATGAGGCTTGAAATCATTTCTTAATTTTGCATAAACTGTAAAATATTCATTTTCGATTATCTTAATACCTTTATATACAAAATAATGAGAGGAATCAATTGGTGTAAAGAAAACGCATAGTTGTTTTCTTTTAAAAAATATGTAATTGTTAATTGCAAATTATATATTTTTTCTTAAAAACAACTATGCGTTTTCTTTACACCAATTGATTCCTCTCATTATTTTGTACATAAAAGTATTAAGGTAAAATAATCGAAAAATGAATATTTTATTAGATATTTTATGATTTATATAAAATTAAGAAATTATTTTAAGCCTCATAACTCGAAAAGTACTCAATGAAGAAATATTTTATTATAGTGTTTTGGAAAGCTCTTGAGATAAGCTACAAGAATAAGTAATAAAAAATAGGGGGTTCCATTTAAGAAATTGACGGTGACGTTCACGTGACCTTCAAATGACTCTCCAAGATCAAACCATTGCCACCATCTGATGGCCCCCTTCAAGCCATACAACTTTTGTTTGAAACATTTCTTTATAAAGTGCATAGTTTATGAAATATTCGACCGTTCCGGGACTTTTGGGACACCCTGTATATAATGTGATGCGCACTTACCAATAACATACTTGCGGAAGAACCCTAAACGCGATATGTATATCATGTCGATCATCATATTCGCAGCGTACATTAATGCTGTACGTGGTTGCCTGATTTCCATTTATGCATTTGCATTAAATCCTCGGTTTCTGCGTTAAACAAATTAATTTAGAATTTAGAATTAGGCCATATTTAATGTTAAGCATGGTACAAAAGAATGAATGTAGAGAAATTAATTAAAAAATCATAATTCTGAAAATCATGTAGGCTGAATGTAGAATATAATCGCCATTTTGCAGTTAAGTTTATATAATTAAGGAAAATGCGTGAATATTTTAATTATGCCAAATTATATACAATATATATCACTATAATTTGCCGGAGCTTTATGAATAAATCATTCATATCGCGGTAACTGATTTTTTAATTCCGACCACTTTACAGCGCATGTATTTTAATTAAAACATCGCAACAATTACTAGATAAATTGATAATACGAGATAAAATCTCTTCATGACAAAGAAAAATTTTTAAATATATCGCTACAGCGAGAAGTACAAAAACAACTGAAGGTGTAAAAACTAAAACAAGTATATAAGAAAAACGTGAATTTTTTTCTCGAATATTATTTTTAACGGGCGTTTAATATTAAGTTTTTCGCGGCAAAGTAAAGTCTCGAATATATTGTTATAGTTGAAAGAAATTCCGAGCTTAGCAAAGGAATAAAAAAGAATAAAAAAGTAGAAGACAGAGTTAAACCGTAATGTTATTCTATCCCAAGATAGCGTGCATTCGATGCCGGCGGAATTTTCGCGATGAAGTAAATTCCAAAATATATCGTTACTAACCGAGAAAAATTGCAAATTAAAAAAAGAGCGAAATAAAAGTTGAAACGCAAAGTTAAGACGGCGGCGAATTTGCGAATATTATTTCCATAAGGAGTGCGCATTCGATGCTAACGGATGTTTCGCGGTTGAATAAATCTCGAGATATACCGTTTCTAACCGGAAGAAATCGCGAATACAGAATTCGAAATGTAAAGAAAGCACGCGCGGAAATGCCGACATTATTTTCCGGAGGAACGCATATTTGACGTTAACGAGAGCTTCGCGGCTGAAGTAAATTCCACGGTATATTGTCGCAGGTGAGAAAAGCAGGAAATAAAACGTCAGAATTTCCCCTACTCCAATAGATGTTCAATGGTCCGTCTCGAAAAAGTACGATTTTCCAGATCGCTTAGGATAAAAATCGTGATTAAACTGTCCCTCGTAATGCCTGGTCGTTAAAATATTACAACTCGTAACTCACTTTAAATGACTGTAATATGCTGTAGAATTGCATGAGGTACAGAAGGATTTTCGAGACTCGCATACCGCCTCAAAAAATAACTCACGAGTCCTAATCGCTTTTTTCTTCCCCTACAAAGTTATCTTTATCGCTGGAATCTTTCTTACTCAATGCATCACCGTATTCCAAGTGTTTGCGCATCGTGTGCGTTGGTTGGACATAAGCAGAATGAGAAATAGAGTTTTCGCAAACTTTCATCCTAATGGGTTTCCGAGGGGAAAAATAATTATCAGCGATAAAACGGTGAGTTTTGCGACGAGCGCAAATTTAACATTGCGGTCGGTCGTAACGAAGCGGAACGTCGTGCGGAATAAAAGAGTTTTCAAGTACCGCGAGAGTTGCAAAAGTACTACATAATTACAAGATGTCATGTTTATCACCGCGCGAAAATGAGGGAATGAGGGAACTTTCTCACCTTTCCTAGATTTGTCAAAAAGTAGCAGCGTGAAAGATCAAATTATCTTTTTAACGTGTGCATCTTTCGACGAAGAAAATAACTAGGAATATTTAGAATGACTTAATTGACTTTTTTGCAATCACTCATATTGTTGCTGAGAGGATCGACGTTGTAAGAGAGCTCCTATCGTTGAAGTGTGCATAGAAAAAAAAGACATTCTTGTTTTGAAAACATCTTTAGTTTTAACATGAAAACCTTGAAATGAAATTATATTGTGTTAATTATTGAAAAATATAAATATAAGAAAAATTTTATATAATTAAATAATTATATAAAAATATAATGCTTGAATAATTGCTTGCTTGAATGAAGCCATTTTATATAGGTCAATCAAGAAAAATATATTCTTGATTTAAGATTTAATTTTCTTAAATGGAAGGGAAACAATGTTGGGTAGAAAATAATATTTTTAAATCAAAGATTATAATTTTTTTAAAGTAGAATTAAATAATTATATATTCTTGAGGTGATAATTACAATATTAAAATAAGACTATAATATTGTTGAAATTTAAAATTATTAAATTCTTCTAAGAAGATTATAAATTGTCGCGTATATATGAAACAATGCACGCGTTAATTTAAGGATGTATTGGACGGATCGTCTGTCTCAAAAGTTAATCCAAAGTATCAAAAAATTAAAGTTGGGCAGAATACGAATTCTAATTGATCAAAAATTTTTTAAAAATCACGAAATCATACTTCAAAGTATTCTTTAATATAAATAGGTCTTAATTTCCAAGAAAATGTTGCCACGTTTTATCATCAATATTGCCACGTTTTATCATCAATATTGCGTCAAACCGATAATCACAGTTATTTTTTAATAATAATTTCAAAACGAACAAGTAAATCGTTTTAAAACTTTGTGGGAACATTTTTACATGTATGAA